TGGAGTTGCCTGAATTCAGGATTTAGGATTGGGCATTCAGAGTTTGGGGGGGGGGGGGGGCGCTACACTACATATCCTACTCAAGCTACTCCGAGAGTCGAGGATTGCCCATAGTCACATAGTCTCCATCATATATGCCCAGCGCCGTAAGGCCCCGGCCTCTCGTGACAAAGGGCAAGCCGCCCAAAGAGCCGAGGCAGGAAGTTTGGTTTAGGCTTTAGGGGATTAGGGTTTGGGGTTTAGGAGTTTGAGGAAGATTATCCCAGGGCTCCAGTCACCTAAATAGTAGGTTACTGGGGTCCATAATATGTGGTTAGTAACCTACTATTTAGGTAACTGGACCCCTACGGTGAGAATAGGACAGAGCTTGTGCAGAAATTCTACGTCTTAAAGAGTGAGGGTTGGGCCCCTTGCGTTTAGGATTCAGGGTGTGGGGGTGGAGTTCGGAATTTAGGGTTGAGGGTTGGGTGTAGTTCCTCAGTAAACACGCAAGAACTGGCTTTTTGTAATCGTGCAGCCTCATGGGCCCGATTGTTCCGTCCTTTTGTCCTTCCTTCCTCTCTTTCTTCCTTCCGCTTCCTTAGGCACAGTGTGTGTGTGTGTATGTACATATATGTGCTGCTTGGTATGTCTGATGCTATCCCGGCCAGCAGCCATACCCATAGAAACGATTTAGGTGGTGTCATTTTGATTCCGATTCGCTGGCTACCAGTATTTTAACCCTAAGCCGTTGGTACCTCTTGCCGTCACCCTTTCCTTAATCCCTAAACCCCCTGCAGCCCAGAACCGCCCTAAACAACCAAACCCCCCAAGTCCTGAAGCTTCTGGTAATGACTTCAAACTGAGTAACTAAAGCCCTTACAACCCCAAAACCCGGCGCCAATAATTCTCTAATTATGCGGGGTGGGGGGTCGGAAATATCAGCAGTATCCCGCATCACTATCCTGACTACTATTTAGTAAGCTCCTGTATATTCAGAGTAGAATGCCTAACCCTAAACCCTAAACCGCGCCCCCTGAAGCCCTGAACCGCGACATGTGCGATTCGGAGGCCCGACCCGCGAACCTTCAGTGAAGCCTTGGCCTTTCTAGCTCCTTGGCGTGCTTCAGGGCTAGATGATGTCGGTTTAGGTTTAGGGTTTAGGGTGGGGCTTGGGGGTGGCATTATGGTTATATATAGTGTAGGGCTTCAGGGTTTCGGGGTGAGAGGGTCTGGGAGTTTCAGGGGTGTTATTTGGGGCTTCAGGGCTTTGGGACCAGAGGATTTTAGGTTGGAGCTTCGGGTGTAGCGTGCTACGTGAAAGGCTTTAGGGATCACAGTATCTCATTTTGGAGTTCAAGAGCTTCGGGCTTCCGTTCGGTTTGGGTGGTAGGGTTTATAGGGTTTAGGGTTTAGGGTGTTGTGTCCTACGGGTGCCTGGGATTTAGGGTTTACCGGTTCATGCTTTAGGTATAAGGTTTAGGGGTTGGGGATAGGTGTGTAGGGTTTTGTGTTAAGGGTTTAGGTGTGTATGGTTTAAGGGTTTAGGGTCAAGGTTTGATCACTTGTGACCCGGAAGTACTCTTGTCCCGATCTGGATTTCAGGAACGATCAGACCGAGGCCTGCGCCCCGAAACCCTAAACCCCTAAACCCTAAGCCCGGAGCGATGCAAAACGAGCAACATTTGCAGCCTAAGTCCCGTAACATCCCCCGTATCCTAAGCCACGCAGCTACATCTCAGGTCCAGGGCACGGATGAAGGTGCCGTCAGGCTGGCGAGAAGTAGGCTGAATTTCAGCTTAGAGTTTCGGAGCTACACGGAATTCACTCTTCGTTGATTCTGGCTGCCCATAGGCCCCAAAGTAGTTCCTTTTGGGGATTACCTTAGAGGGTTCTATATCTGAACCCCATAAAAGGAACTACTTTGGGGCCTTAGGAAAGACAGCTGCCAGGCCCTGGGAAATATCTGATGCTAGCGGGACAGACCCAAAGGGTCCTATGTACCGTTATGGGGAAATACTTCCCCACATTAATACTAGCAATCCCTAGTTTAGAAACCCTACATTCTACTATATAGGTATTTGCAATAGTAATAATACTAATAATAGTAATAGGACTAACAGTAACAGCAATAGTGATAGTATTGGACCCGTTGAGCTCCGGCTCCTCCTCCTGCTACTCCGCGGCAGCTACTTCTACTGCCATGACTTCTACCCAGAGGCCCCAAAGTAGCTCCTTTTTGGGATTACCTAATAAGATTCTATATATGAACCCCCAAAAAGGAACTACTTTGGGGCCTTAGGGCCTTAGGGTAGTAATTAATTACTGTCCGTGAGATCTGACGAAGAAGACTAACAGTTGAAGCAACACATAGAGATCGGCAACACCTAGCAGCATCCATAAGACACTCGTAGCACATTGACTCGAATTGACAGGTTGGGCCTGCAACTGGCCCGCAGCAGGCGCGGGACACAGGAGAATCAATTAAGGCTTAGGCTGGCTTAGGGTTGGAGGTTTTGAGGGTCTAAGGTTCAGGGCCAGACGGGATTTGGAGTGTGAGGTATTGATTAGCGCCGCGAGTTTCGAGGGTTCGAGTTTCCGGGTTCAGATTGAATTTATTTTGTGCCTGTTGATCACTAGAACGGCTCAATCCCCAGGCCAGAACATCACGTCAGGCACCTATATATCTATATATATATATATATATATATATATACCTCTTTGCTGGTAGCGTCCTTCCTTGCCTACATAAATGCATTTGCCTTACGCTGGTGTTACTATGATGATCTTCGATGACAGCGTGGTCTTGCACATCTGAACCTTAAACCCTAAACCCCAAACCCCTAAACCCTAAACCCTAGAAACTAGCAGCAAGCAGGTAGGACCACGCAAGAGGTTCAACCTCACCTGTCACCTATCTCAGCGCTCCAAGCAAGCCACGGTAACTGTGATAATCACCGCGTCTGACACGACTTTCGACAGAAATCATGGGCCCGTTGTTGTGGTCCGAGTATATTCATCAGGAGCAAGGCTATGTGTCAGCCCTGAGCTGCTTTGGCATTTTACTCTTAGCCTTGATATGGGCGTCTTGCAAAAAGCAGAATGGTTAAACCACAATAAAGACCCAAGGTTTCTTACCTACGGCTCCTATATTAAACTTTCCAGCGCCGCCTCTGCGCAGGGCATGTTGCAAAGTCTTGCACACGCTTTTCGAGGCAGGGGCTTATTCTCCGGAGTGTGAATCGAATTCCAGCTTAGGCCAGGGTTTCGGGATTCGGGTATAGGGATGTATAGGGTATGCTTAGAGCCTACCAGGACCTTTTACTAGAGCCCTTATGGTTCTTAATAGTGGGTAATTGGGGTATAATCGAGGGTAGGGCTTAGGGGTTTGGGGCCGGCCTCAAACGCCCAGACTTTGAAAGTCTGGTTTTTAAGTTTCCAGAGCAGAATTGGCAGGATCTTGAGACAGCAGCTTAATCCATGTGTTCAGTATATAGTTGCGCTCAGTAGTGCTTCGGTGCCCTCCCGCGTCGAGAAGCTGAGTTACACTGCCTGTTTATTCTTGTTCTCTTCATTTTATGGTTGTCGTCTATGGCGTTTCGTGTAGCGTGTGGCTCTTATGAGCTGTGAAATCGGATATCGCTGGTCACAAAACAATCCCTGAACCTGGAGGAGGTTTGGCAGTTGTGGCACAGGAGCTCCCAAGACATGAACATGACAATGATGCTGATGATGACAGTGACGAGGATGAGATGGCGACGACACCCAACTTCTTGCACCCTAAATCCTAAAACCCTAGAGCCCGAACCTTGTCGGTGTGGAGGCTTTATCGAGTAATAAAGGCTGTCAGGCGAGGTTTGCGAGGAAGCTTGCAGTGCTCGATGGGGTTTAATTCCTCCTAAACCCTAAACCCTAAACCCTAAACCTTTAATTCCTAAGTAAGTTTTCTGTTTATCAGATTTTGGTTCCGAGGCCTAGATGGAAGGGGCCTGGAGTGACTGCACAAACTGCTGCAAGACCGTAAATCCCAACACAGGTCCGCGACCGAGATCGCCACCATCTGCTGTTTGGAAAGGAGGACCACGACGAGGACGATGAAGAAGAGCTGTTGCACGACAGGCAAGCGACCCTTCCGATTCAGGTTTAGGGTCTTCGAGCTTAGGCCTAGGCCTCAAGTCTGACATCCTAAACCTCTTATCGCCAAACCATGCGAAATCCTAAACCCCGTACGGTCTTGGTCGCGGAGGATGCCCCTTCGGCGTCAGCGAAGGATTTCTTTCAGGATGATTTTGGGTTTCGTCGCACTCAAGTTAGCAATCACTAGCTTTAGGCTTGCTAACCTAGTAGTAGAGTAGGTAACCTTTAACATTTTCTGGGTAGTATAGTCCCTATATAATCCCTACATATCCAAAAAGGTTAACCTTTAGCTCCCCATGATACCCGACAGGTAAGCTAAACTTACCGTTCAGGACTAAGAGACCCTGTGAAAAATGAGAGAAACCTCCCCTGAGGCCCCCGTGGTATGTAGTTCCTTTTTTCGTGGCTTTTTATAGAATCCTATAAGGTTATCCCAACAAGGAACTACTATGCGGCCTGTGGGTAGAAACGTAGAGATATTCGAGTTTTTCTCAAACGAGCTCGGTTCAAGAGTTTGGAGGTTTAAGATTTTTGGGTTAAGGGTTGAGGGCACCTTTCTCGGGTTTCGGGTTTCGAAGACAGACATGGATGGGATTTACTGCGCAGTGCTGTAGAATACGCTTGTGCTACGCCTGTCCAAAAGCTTCCTCATGTCATGGGTTGGGCCTCATACTGTATCCCTAAGGGTCCATGTACCAAAATTAAATATTTTATGTCTTGGCCTTAAAGTAGTCCCTATGTAGGTACTTTGGGGCCAAAGTATATACTGCTTGAGTACAATGACCCTTAAGGTATTATCACTCGGAAATGCTTAACCTCCACACACACACACACGCACATCACTAACTCTGGAATCCCCTTTTCCTGAGTTCCTACACCACACACTGTCACACAGTCCAAGGACTAAACCCCGAATCCTAGTTTCTCTTGTTCGTGAGCTTCACATCTCACGTCTCTCGATCATACCAGGCTTGAAAAGTGTTGAATTGACACCTAAGTGCTTTCAAGGTCCAAAGTGCCTGATATCTGCAACACAGCTGAGTATTTTCGGGGACTCAGGCTTGTGCGCACCCCCCCCCCCCACCAAAAAAAAAAATAATAAATAAGACGTAGCTCTGGACGCCTGAACCCTGCACCCTAAAATTCATCCACCCACTTCCGATCATCATGTTTAGCCCTGAACCCTAAACCCTAAACTCACCTCTGGATTACCAGGTTACGCTTGTCCAGAATTCGGGCTTGGAGCACCCTAAACCTTATCCTCAAAAGCTTTTTCTATCTGCGATACCCTAAACCCCAAAATAAAGATCCTTCTGGAACCCTGAGGATTAAAGCCCAAACTCCCAAACCCTAAACCCAGAGCCAAACTCCCCAGACCCCAAATCCCAAGCCTTAAACCCAAAGCACGGAAGGCACGATGAGATGGCAGGAAAGAAGCTAGGTGGCAATTTGGGAAACTTGTTGATTTTGTCCATGGCTCCTATAGTATAGAGAAACCTACTCATAAAGACTATTCAAAGCCCAACAAGACTACCACTCAGGAAGATGACGCGACAAGACCGGGAGGAGGCAGAGAAGCTTGCGCTTCGGCTCCTTCGTTGCGATTCGGTTCGGGCTTAGGGTTCACGTTGGGGTTTCGGGGATTAGGGTGTCGGGTTTAGGCGTTTAGGGTTTAGGGGTTTAGGGTTTAGGGTTGAGGGCTTAGGGTTTAGAGCTGAGATATTATAGGTTAAGTGCTCTAATGTCTCTAATGTCATTGATCTCAATGATCGAGAAGGCACATCCACAAAGCATTTGGCGGCACGCCGCGCGTCCTGAACATACGCCCATCCTGGCCGGAAGAAATCCTCCAAGGACAGCGACTACCCATAGGCTCCTTAGTAGTTCCTTTTTGGGATTACCTTATAGGATTCTAAATATGAACCCCAAAAAGGAACTGCTATGGAGCCTCTAGGTAATGCCAAGCTTTCTGTTCATTCCACCTTTCGCGTGACACTGCTTACTGCAGAAACACAGACTATGAAATTGCGACCACAGCCGTGCCCGAAGAAACTCCCGATGCACGCTACAAAGAAACTCGGCTAGTTCAGCAAGCAGTCTCAAGCTCGAGGCTCCGTCATTTGGACGCGACAGGATCACTGGCTGCGCGTTACACGCTCCGACAAGCAGATCAACAAGACAGGGTAGGCACCAAGCGGAAGCACGAAGACTCCGGCAAGTGACAGCACAAAGACCAGCAGCCGCAAGAAATAACAAAGAACAAGCGCCGGGACCGTTGAGCAAGCTGTCGGGGTTCATAGGCATTGTTCCAGCTCCTCAACCCTAATGCCCTTCAAGCCCCGGCCCTAAACTATGCAGGTGTGGGGTGTGGCTTGGGGTTTTGTGGTTGAGAGTTTAGTGTAGGATTAAGGGTTCAGCTGTTACGAGTTGAAGTTTAGTGTTTAGGATTTGGGGCTTACGATGTCTTCTGCCAAGGGGGTTCCGCAGTTGTGCGGAGATTTTTGCTTATCCTGAAGATTAGATGTTTCGGGTGTTCCTTGGGGTATGGGTTAGGCTTGTGCGACGTAAGCTTCCGCGTTTAATGCTGTTCCCGGATCTGAGGGTACCCCAGCCAACCCGTGCTGGCCGTAACTTCTGAAGCCCTTATCAGTCAAGCGGCGCTATGCGACCTAAACTATGGAGCCCAGGCTCTGACCCAAGAAGAACCAGACACTACCCCACCCATCACTAATCATCCTACATGCATGTTCCAACTTTCTGAGGTTCACTTTACACTCTTTCCATCTTGACATTGACTCCTACGCCTCAAGCCCCGAAATTCCCGTTAACAACAAAAACAGCTACACTAGAATTCCCTGGGTCTACAGACCCATATCATCACAATGCTGTTCTACTTTACTTGCAGTACGGGCTGGAATTCCCCTAAGGCTCCATGTACCCATATAGTGTATACTTAGGCCTTAAAGTACCTATATAGGGACTAATTAAGTATCTACTATAAAGGTACATGGAGCTTTTGGGATTCTTGAAGGCAGAAGATGCGTGGAAGTGAGATGGACTTCGTGAACTTCTCGAAGGAGCGCAAGCTCGAGGGCACGGCTTGATAATATAGGGGCCTCAATGAGTACTAATATTTTTTTCTTACGGGGGGGAGGGGGGGCGGGGGCTCCTTATGATAGTTATAGTATAATGGGCACCAAAACCCGGAACGGGATGTGCTTCGCCGTGCAAGAAGTTTATGATACTATATACATAGGGTCTCTAGGTCGGCCAGTGGAGCCTTTTTTTATTTTTTTTTGTGGTCTTAGGTTCCTTATGAAAAAACTACCCAGTACCAAAAGTTACTGGGGATCTCTGGGTTTGGGTTTCATGGGTGTTTGCTTCAGGCTTTGAGGTGCATGGGCGGCATTGTCGCAGCAAGGATAAACCCTAAACTCCTAAACCTCTAAACCCGAAACCCCTAAACCCCTAAACCCTAAACTCCTAAACCTCTAAACCCTAAACTCCTAAACCCCTAAACCCTAAACTCCTAAACCCCTAAACCCTAAACTCCTAAACCCCTAGCATGGCTTCGCGAAGAGGATGTCACAGAGTTTGAGAGTCCCCATTACGGGAGTTTCCAAAAATCAAGGGTACCTCATTTGGGGGTCCTTACAATAAGGATCCTACATTTGGGGTACTATATTAGGGTCCCCTATTTTCGGAAACCTCCATACTTATCCACAAGCACTGAGCTACCTAAACCCTAAACCCTAACCTCTCAACCCCTAAACCCTAAACCCCTAAACCCTAAACCCCTAAACCCTAAGCCCTAAATCCTAGGGCGATTTTCAGAATCCCAGTTCTCGTGTTCGCTTCCTTTAGCCGTTGTCCGTCTTAGGACCCTGAAGGCGGGGCACATCTTTCCAAGGGTAAAAGGAGGGACCCTTAATAAGGACCCCTAGGCGTATACCCTTAATCGAGCTTTTTTATTCCCATCATATAGCCCAGGATAGGGTAGGGGTCCCCATTAAGGGTCCCTCCTTTTTCCCCTTTGAATCTTGGGAGCTTGTATCCTTCGAGTGTTGAGTGGCGTTTCGGGTCTCGGGTTTCGGGTGCAAGATGAACAACACACCCATTGCCCCCCAATCCCAAACACCCCGAATTTATCTACATCGTCTTCTCTTTGCTACTACGACAGCGACTGATGCTGCAGCTGCGGGTGGCGCAGGGGTTATGGTTCAAAATTCTCAAGGTTAAAGGTTTCAGAGTTCAGAGTTTGGGACAGGATCGAGAAATCCCTCTCGAGCAACTTGAGCCACCCAGCCGCTAGCCGGAGAGCAGATCTATCAATCTGGATAATTACATTCTTAACCCCCCCCCCCTCCCATTTTGAAAGAGACGGCCAGAGAGCAGTACATTCTAAAATCCCCATATTGAAATACAAGAAACGATCAACTCCTAAACCCTGGAGCCCCTAAAGCCACGTCAGGACTGGCACCATGTCAAATCTGCGCCTGGTCCGCCATGTGCCTCTCGGCGGAGGACTTCGCAGCAGGTTTTGGGCTTAGGGTTGAGGGTTTTGGGAGTTGAGGCTGCTTGCAGTGAATATTAATCCTCGATCTTGAAACCCTGTGTTGCCAAACCGTCTCATCCGATCCTCCCAGTAACGTCGCCGTCCGGATCCATTCCTAAGCCTTAGTAACTTAGGCCCTAATTAGACACTCAATGCCGAAGCCCAAAATCCCGGAAACCCTGAAGCCCTGAACCTTCAGCTGCAGACCCGAAACCCTACAACCCTAAACACTCAATCCGCAACCTTCCCGAATTAAGCCCTTAACCTCCAATCCTGAACCCTAAATCCTTAACACTAAATCCGATGCTAATCGTATCCTTTCAAAGCGCCTAGATGTCCCCCAAAAAGACAAGATACACCTTAATCCTAAACCCTGAAGCCTAAGCACCTCAGCCCTAAGTCCTAGAGAGCCCGAGGTGATCGTGGAGTATCCTCAGGGAGCTGGCGATCTCGAATCTCTGGGGCGATTTGAGGGTTTCCGGTTTAGGGTTTATTGTTTAGGGATTTCGGGTTTAGGATTTAGGGTTTAGGGATTTCGGGTTTAGGGTGGTTTAGGGTTTATAGGGGAGTGAGTTTAGTAACGAGGGGTTGAGGGATGTTTCAGGGAGGGGAGTTATAGGGGTTTAGTTTGGGTTTAGTGACAAGGGGTTTGGGTTTTTGTTTGCGTGTTCTTTGCACTTTAGGCCCGTGGAATTGGGGGATTTTGGGGTGGTTTCGAACACCCTAACACCCTACTGTAAGGGTCTATGTACTCATATAGTATAGACTTCAGCTTTAAAGCAGTCCCCGGATATCATATTAACTTTGGAGCCAAAGTCTTTACACAAACATGAAGCCTCCGGTTAGAATGTATCGTCGGTCGGTGGGGGTCTGGCAGGTAAGCTTTTTCCGGAGTGTTGGGGGTTGTTAGGGTTTTGGGTTTTGATCGGATTCTACGTTTGGCCCCTAGCCTTTTGTGTGGTTTTCTGGTATCACGATATCTAGGATGTATACTCTGAGACCCCTTTAGATTTAGTGGCCGGTAGGGCTTCTTTGGGTTTGGATCTCCGTTATGCCTGGTTAAGACATTTAGGCTTGAAGGTTCAGGGGTTTGCGTTGTCAATGCTGCCTGGTTTGTACCGGGTGGGAGTTCTGGGGTTAAGGCCGTTGGGCTTGGGTGTTCAGGGTGCAGGGTTATCCGGGTCTGACAAATCAGTAAGAATGTTCACTGATAAACTTGGTGTCATAACCTTACTATACAGCATCTGTATGTTTATTACCTATATATTCATCTGTTCGTTTAGCTTATGTAGATGTGGTTTTGTGTGTGTGCCCCATTCTAATTAGTAAGTCCCCTGCGATGCCGTTGACCGAAAAAAACCCAGGAATCATGCCTTTTTGTGCCTGTGTGCTTCACGGCGTTCAAGGCTTGCTGTGTGCGCGTGCCCGCACTCGAGACTCATAGACAAGAAAGACTTAGAATCATGATGAGCAAAGAAGCATAACTAATGATTTCCTATGTGCGAGATCAATGTCATGTAGATCCGTGCCAAGTGATCTTTTGTGTCTCAGTGATGAATGCTTAACTCCTCCATATTTGACTCTCCCTATTCCCTGCAATGCCGCTCCTTCGTTTTGCTGAACCAAGATCATAGGAGGCCAACAGGGGTTTTAGCCTATGGGAGTTTAGTAGGGATTAGGGTTCCCATCATAGGGTTCATATTAAGGAAATCCCTACCCCCAAGAATCTTAACCCCACCCCCCCTTTTCACCTCCCATCACAAGATTTTGGCTGCCAGACCCAGGACTGGCAGCAAGACGTCCAGGTCCAGGAGTTCTCAGAGTGGAGGCCCGCAGAGCAATCGAAGGCTTCAGATTCAGGAAAGAGGTTTAGGCGGTTTAGGGTTTAGGGTTTAGGGTTTAGGGAGGGTTCCAGTTTCTTTTGATTTGGGGGTTGAGCAGGAGGGCTCGATTTCAGATTCAAAGTTTCGAAGGGGTTTGCTGAGACTAGGAGTAGTAGCGACTGTGCCGGCATTCAGTAGCAGTCAGCTCAGTAACTGTCGTCGCGTCGCTGTCATGGCAGGTACATCCACAAGTTGCTTGGCAGAAGACGCCCATTTTTCCTTGAGGGTTTAGGGTTGAAGGGTGTGAAGGTGTATATGGGGGTGGAGGGTGTTCAGAGTAGTTTGAAGTGTCGCAGCCTGACGTGGGTGTTCATGCAGAGATGAATGGCACGTCTGCTCCCAGAATAGCCCGTAAGTCGGAGGATCCAACTGTAAGGGAAAATACCCCCTACCTATCATAGCAGGACTAGCGGGAGCCGCGCGCGGTCGGCAACATGTTTCCATTGCCAGTCCGGTAGTGTTTCCGGGCCTTGGAGGGCCGTAAGCCCACGACCTGAACAGTGTTCAGAGTTCTGGGATGGCCGAGCTTCAACTGGGCCATTCATGAACATGCTGCTTACTGGGGCGGGGTACAGCTTTAAGAAGGCACGCAACAATGATCTTTCATAGGCTTCCGAGCCTTGGCGGAACGTGTATGGCTGGAACTTTATGCAAACATTGATAGACCGTATAAGCCCGTTATAGAAACCAAGTACAGTAACACCCATAGGGTCCAAGTACCCAAACAGTAGGGTTTTAGATCCCGAAATCCATACCCTGAATGGTTTTGGGACCTTGAAACTCTACTATTTGGGTGCTTGGACCCTTAGGGACACCCAACCAACACCTGAAGAAACCATACCGTACAACACCCAGGTTGGTTGATGGCATTCCCACGACCAGCTACGAGGAGTGCACCGACCTCATCGTCGTGGCAGTGCGCGAAGGCATCACTTTTTCGGTTGTCGGGTAAAGAAAGAGGTTTGACGGTGTGGATGTATCGGGCTCGAGGTTTAGGACTTGTAGGTTTGATTGTTTAGGGCATCCTTCTGCTTTGCTGGGGGTTGGCTGAGGGGGCTTCGTCAAGGTTAGGTGTTGTGTTTTTTTGTGGTGGTGGTCGTTGCTGTTGCATCCTTTGCAGCAAGACCACGCCTGAAGGTTCCTGTAGAAACATGTGTATAACTGCATATATGTACATAAATTTCTTAGCCCAACAGCCAGCATCCTATGAAGAGGGCAAGCTGGTACTCGTGTAATCTTGAGCGACTGCTAGCCCGAATCCTAAGCCCTATAGCCTAGACCCGAAAGCCTACACCTTAGATGCGTCTTCTGCGAGTCGAGGCAATGCAAGGTCTGCATACACCAGTACTCTTGAGCTTGAAGCTTTCGCAGGCTGCTTTGCTTTGGCTGGACCTGGAAACCCCTGCGCATCCCAAGCCGGTGAAAGATTCGTATCAGCAAGCTTGCACCCTATACCGTCGACCCGAAACGCTTAGCTCGAAACCCCTGCGAACCCTACTTCATGTATGTATGACAGCATAGGTGTCGATATGAGTACAGATGATATGGGTATAGATCTCCCGCCGAGTAAACCTAGAAAGCCTGCAGATGGGCCGGCTCAGAGACGTGGCATCCGGGACGGTTTCAAGCTAATGAGCATCGGTGACTTGGGCTCGAAGCAGATCGCTAACAGTCCTGTAAGCAAAACGGCCTAGTCATACCTGGTCGGATGCGACGATTCAGAGGGTTCAAGATGGGTTCAAGTTAAGGGCCAAACAATTAAGGGTCAGTTGTTGGGGCCGTTTAGAGTTTCAAGGGACCCCATGGTGGAGAGTCCTACTACCTTCATTTTCAGAATCCTTCTGATGCGTACATCACAGGCGCTTTTGTAGTGCGGCTCTGTCAGTTGAAACCAGGTCACGGGCTCAAGTTAGACTCCAATATATGATATCCCTTAATTCATGCATATACCTGAAGTTATAGTCGGATCCCTCGTGTTCCTCTTTCAAGGTTCAAGATTTCTGGCAGAGGCTCGTAAGATCTGGAACTATTGAACCGACTCCGTGGTCAAGATGGGGCTGTTTGCAAGCGTGCACCCAAGCATCCTCGAAGTGGTTCTGTGCCACTTGGACCCTACACCCTAACCACCTACCCCAAGGGTCCAAAGGACCCAATAACTAGGTACTCGGGTTCGAGATAGTAGTTATGAGGTTACTAAATTTCAGAGTATATGATAATTGGGTACTTGGACCCTTAGGGCTCCCGGTCGTTTCTCCCCACCTCAAGGCCACTCAGTAAGTCAGCGTTGGAGAGGTAACTCCAGGACAACTCTTTGATATCCACCCAGTAAATTTCATCAAGATGGGATCTTAAAGGTGCCTTGGCGAAATATGATCCCACAAATGCGACAGGTTTCGCCCCGTGTAGTATGTTGCACTTCGCTGGACCTTCCTGGACTGGCAAACAGCACCATACCTATAGTCTCCCTTGTAGTCCCTTGCTTACATTCAGCAATAAATTCAGGATTCAGGATCATAGTATAAGGCATCCCAAGAAAGGAAATAATACTCTGGAGACATATGGAGACCATGGGTGTTTGTACAGACTTCCTATGCAACGTTGCAAAGCCCTGCGGTGCCGAACCCCGTATTCTCCGTACGCGGCCTTTGCGAGTAAAGCCTTGAAAAAAGCAGCCAAAACCGCTAAGGTCTGAGCCGTGTGCTCCTGGACCCTCGACCCCTAAACCCTAAACCCTAAATAAAACCTTAAAGCCCTAAACCCTAAATCCTTAAAGCCTAAACCCTTAACCCTAAAACCTTAAGCCCTGATCCCCTGGGCCGGTTCTTACCCTCAAAGAGAGGCATGCGTATGGGATGGTGGGCTTCGCCAAGAGTGCCGCTGGGGCGAAGGATTGTTGGGTTGACGCATTGGCATTATGGAGGTTCGTACCGATAGGACTATATATAGATCATAGATGTGAGTTTTGAGCTGTAGGTTTCGGGTGTTTTCTATTTAAGGTTTTACGGTTTCGGGGTCTCAGGGACCTCGTTGTTGTATGTCCGACATAGCTTTTTCTTTTTGCTCTCCTGTGCAGAAGATCGGGAAGAGGAGAACAGGAACTGCAAGGGAAGGCCATGTAGACCCCTGATTCATAAACCCCACCCGCTCAATCAGGAGAATAAGAGGGATTCTAACATTAAGGACCTTAAGGAGAAGGTTTGTTGATCTGAGCTGTATCTTATAGGTAAATCCTGAACCTGGAGAGACACGAATCTCCCTCCAGAGCCTGCTGTATCCTTCCTTCGCGGGCCTTAGTAGGGGTTGTTGCGCAGCCCCAAAACGCCGACATCCAAAAACCTCAAACCCCAAGCTCTGCATACCACAAACCCCAAGCGCTGCATCCCAAACCCTAGACCCCCAAGCCATACGTCCTGAGCCTGGAAACCCATTAAAAGCCCAAAAGTCTCCTAAACCCTAAACCCTAAACTCTGAACCCTTAATTAAACCCTAAACCCTCAACCCCGAGCCCGAGGGACACGGATGACTGGCTGCAGTCAATACGTCGGATCCAGACACTGGCGTTCGAGGCGTCGAGCTGGGTTTAGGGTTTCAGTTTTTTTTGGGTTGATCACCAGCGTCATACCCTGAAGTTGGTCGATCTTACATCATCAGGTTAGGGTTTCATAGGTTTCGTGGCAGCTTTCATCGGGTTAAGGGCTGAAAGGGCTTACATAGGGTGGGGCTGGGTGGTGTGGCTAGTGACTCGAGTTCCAGGTTCTATGCATTCCCCCAGATCCTCCATACGGAACCCGAGAAAAGTCCCAACGGTCTCAGCCCTAGCTATAGATCAAAGAGCAGTACAGTGAATCCCAAGCCCCAGAAAGCCCTACAGTCTAAAGCCTTGTTCCCCAAAACACACCCTAGGCCCTAAGCCAAACCCTATACCCTCAACAAAAGACGCCTAAAAACCGCATGCCCTCAACCCCTAAACCCTAACCCTTATAAACCCTAACCCCCACCTTAACCCGCAATAACCTACCTTTTTAAGGACTTGTATATGGAAACCGTAATAAGGAGCCCTAAAAAGGGTAGGTTATTCCGGCTTAAGGCACAGGCAAACCCTAAACCCTAAACCCTAAACCCTAAACCCTAAACCTTAAAGCTCCTGGCAGCCTTGCGACCTCACCTCTCCAACGGGACCGCTGCCGCTGCTGATCGCAGCGGCCGGCGGCGAGAAGCGGGGCAAGGAGGACTTGGTTATCGGTTCAGGGGTTGAGGGTTTAGGGTTGAGGGCAAGGAGGACTTGGTTATCGGTTTAGGGGTTCAGGGGTTGAGGGCAAGGAGGACCTGGTTGCCATCTTTGGCTTCCAGCATAGAGTATAGAGTTTAGGCTCTAGGGTTTTGTTATCATCTTTGGCTTCCGTTGTAGGGTTTAGGCTTTAGGATTATCCTCCGTCTTACTCTTTGGCTTCATTGTAACATAGGGTTTAGGGGTTAGGCTTCTGGCTTAATTCTCCGATTAGGCTTCCATTATACAGGATAGGGTTTCCTATTCGGGGTTCCATAAGGGTTCAGGCCATAGGGTGTCCGATTAGGGTTCCCTTGTGGGGTTTAGGGTTTAGAGTCCAGGGTAGTATAGGGTTTAACTAGGCTTTAGGATGTCCTATTAGGGTTCCATCATGGGGTTTAGGGTTTCAGGCTTCTGGTCGTCCTATTTGGCTTCCAGTACACGTATATAGGGTTTAGGCCTTTAAGTTGCCTTATCAGGCTTCCATTATGCAGGGTTTCGGGTAGGGTTCCATTGTCGGGGCATGGGGTCCCGCAGGGTTGTGCGATTTACTTCCGAAGCCTTCATTTGGGATCCGGTTCATGTTTTGCGGCCGAGCTACGTATCCTAGAGGCCACCATTATGGATTTGGGCCCCTCGCTAAGACCATAATAGGGAGGGTATTGTGGGACCAAGTTCCATAGCGGTACTATATGAGGAGCCTCTGGGTATGTTTGAAAAGGGAGCCCAACAAGAGAGATGCTTCTTCGTTTTTCTTCCACAAAGCGGCAAAGAGGAGTGCTCGTTTCACAAGATCCTTCTAGTCTCATAGGAAAGTGAGGTTGGATGGCTTCCTTGTTTTCGCCGTGTTTAGTTCGCAGCGTACATCAGCCGACTTCACGCAAGGTGAAGTAAGGTAAAGGAAGCAGCCCACCACAAGGCAGCATCAACCAACACAAAACACAGGGCGGCATGAGGAAATCTTTCCTACACCTTACACCTACTCAGATCTCAACCGGCGCACACACACACACATATATATATATATATATACATATATATATATATATGTATATATGTGTATATAATATGTATATGTATATGTATATGTATATGTATATGTATATGTATATGTATATGTATATGTATATGTATATGTATGTACGTAAACCTACATACACATGCACATGCATCTATATACACACATTATTCACACACACACATATATATATATATATATACATATATATATATGCATATATATATATATATGTACATGCAACCCACAAGAGATATTTTGCTCAATGTCTTTACATACTGTCGGGCAAGCCCTCTCAGAACCCTAAGTCCTACACCTCACAACCTCTCACTCCAAATCTCTAAACTCATACATATAAAGAAATGTACATAAATTGAAAGCACTAGAGTGACACATGTGCACACACGCTTGCATGCCTCTCTGCATGCGCAGGTGTGAGTGTGCATACATGCAGGTACATGCAAGAATCTCTGCACATAGTACACCTTTGGGGCGCAACGGTTCTCGGAATCTGAGCTTCAGGATGTCACTGCAGTCTCATTCAAGACTTAAGGTTCATCTTACATATGCTTCATACTACCTCAGTTCGCGAATCTTAGCCTCGAAGCCTTGTCAAGCACGACATAGTTCCAGCAGTGCAACGTGCAGTCGAACCATGTGAAGCCTTGAAACCGGCATAGCAAGAAAGCCAACCAGGGAAGGCCAAACTCCATGAATTCTTAGGGGTACTTAGAAGTCATTTTAATTTTTGGTTATTATAATCCCTAAGAAACAGCTAAAATTATAAGTTTTGCTAGGGTTCTAAGTTCAGTATAGAATCCCTGAAGTCGCATTTTGAGCTTGGGTGCCACAACTAGAAACCCCGAACCCTCAAAATTGCGAGAGGACCAAATGGCCTTTACACAGGCTCTTCGTCGCTTCGGTGATGGCAAGGCCAGCATGGAACTTCGTAGTTTCCAAGGCGGCTTCGATGGGTGCGCTGTATGGTTAACTCCGCCGTACTACGGCTGATGATCTAAATCCTGCATTACTTTAAGGACCCTAAACTATGGGAATCATGGTATATTCCTTATTATGGGTAATGCAGGATTTATATCGTCAACCGTAGCAGTCGTCGTAGTACTGGTACGAGTACTAGTACTAGTCGTAGTACTACTGGTAGGGACTGGACGTGGTCGTGGTGGTGCTGGTGGTAATTTTGGTCGTGATAATGGCGGTGTTCATAGTAGGGTTAGGGGACTGACATAGCGAACCGCAGGGCGAGCATCATCAGCATCAGCTGAAATTCCTTGCAGATTCCCTCTCCGATCTCCGGGTGTTCGAATCCGCAACAGGTGTCCCAATTTGACCGTATGATTGGACGGACAAGCGAGCCGCAGGGCGAGCATTATCAGCATCAGCTGGAATTCCTTTCAGATTCCCTCTCTGATCTCCGGGTGTTCGAATCCACAGCAGGCGTTGCAATTCGACCGAATTATTGGACGGACATAGCGAACCGTGGGGAAAGAGCATCATCAGCATCAGCTGCATTTCTTCTCAGATTCCCTATCGATCTCCGGGTGTGTGAAACCAGAAACCACTGCAGGCGTTGCAGTTCGACCAAATGATTGGGCGGACATAGCGAACCGCAGGGCGAGCATCATCCGCATCAGCTGGATTTCCTTTCCGAGCTCCGGGTGTTCGAATCCACAGCAGGCATTGCAATTCGACCGAATGATTGGGACGGACATGGCGGACCGCAGGGCGAGCATCATCAGCATCAGCTGGATTTCGTTTCAGATTCCCTCTCCGATCTCCGGGTGTTCGAATCCGCAACAGGCGTCCCAATTCGACCAAAGGATTGGACAGACATTGCGATCCGCACGGCCAATCCGCATCAGCTGGATTTCCTTTCAGATTCCCTCTCCGATCCCCGGGTGTTCGAATCCACAGCAGGCATTGCAATTCGACCGAATGATTGGGCGGAGGGCGAGCATCGTCAGCATCAGCTGGATTTCCTTTCAGATTCCCTCTCCGATCTCCGGGTGTTCGAATCCGCAACAGGTGTCCCAATTTGACCGTATGATTGGACGGACAAGCGAGCCGCAGGGCGAGCATTATCAGCATCAGCCGGAATTCCTTTCAGATTCCCTCTCTGATCTCCGGGTGATTGAATCCACAGCAGGCGTTGCAATTCGACCGAATGATTGGACGGACATAGCGAACCGCAGGGTGAGCATCATGAATTCATCTCCAATCTCTGGTGTTCGAATCCACAGCAGTTTTCGACCGAATGATTGGACGAACATGCAGGGCGAGCATCATCAGCATCAGCTGGCTTTCTTTTCACATTCACTCTCCGATTTCCAGGTGTTTTCAGATTCCCTCTCCGATCTCCGGGTGTTCGAATCATCAGGTGTTGCAATTCGACCGAATGATTGGACGGACATAGCGAACCCTAGGGCGAGCATCATCAGCATCTGGATGTCCTGTCAGATTCCCTTTTTCACCATGACGGTCTGACCCTGGTATCCCAAGCCTGTTTTTGTTTTGAGGTTCCGGGTCTTTCCTAAAATTGCCATGCCAGTCGCAGAGTATGTCTTGTTCTAGTCTTGTAGGCCTCGTAAGTGTCGAAACCTCCATGCCCATCTCCACGCTCCGAGAATCTCATGCGTGCAACCTCACCGAAGTCCTTCAAACAGATTTGGAAACCCTGCAACTAGGATGCCCAGTAGTACCTTATTCCCTTTTTGTAGTCCTAGGTTCCTTATAAAGTTACTCAATACCAAAAAGAGAGGCCTTTTTATTCTTAGGTTACTGGGTATCCTAGAAAATGCTAAGCCGAGAAGCGCATATACACTGGGCCTACCACACCGGTCACCACTAGCCGGTTGCACAGGAACGCCATGGGCTTGAGCGTGCCATGTGGGAGGCTGGGATACTGGGTTTAGGGTTTAGGGCCTGGGGAGAGTCTTGGGTTCAACTTTCGAGTAATCCCGAAAGCCTCATTGATGACTCATAGCCTTACCATGCGCATGGTAGCATCGTTTTGTCAGCAAATAATGTAGGCTCCTGGCTCAAGCTCCCCATCCTTGACGGGTTTGGTTTTGAGGGGATCCAGAGAAAAAATCTTATGCACCAGCAAACGCGGGAGCCTGGGGGAGGGACTAGAACACCCTGAATACTCAACTGAGCCCTATTCGTCTGTCTGCAACACGATTTGCACTCTTCCGCTGCTTGAATCTCGTATGTACATTGGTAAGTCTGCACTTGTCTTCTTTGGCATCATCACGATGGTAAATGCAGGAGCCATGAACGACAAAAGGCGTATACACCACCGATCAGGGCCCTTCCTGACCCCCATTAAGTCTTTTTACACGGGCCAGGGTGTCACTGCCATGGTTTGCAGCACGAACGACGGCGCGACTCGTGAGCAGGCCGTGGATAGAAGCTACTGGCCCTGTCTTAGTGTTGAAAGCCAGCTTTTTTCGGGTCTTGAGGTTCATGGGTAGACATCAAAAGCGGTGCTATGAGTGCTTCGAGCAATATGTATGATGCGAAAGCCCCAACAAGGCAGGATTCAGTGTGCGTTTAGTGGTCCAAGACTTTGTCATTGTGGGTTCCCAGTAGGTTTTATCATTTGCGTGGTTGTCAGAATTATGGTCCCTTTTGGAATCCTTATTATACTACGGCACCTAATATTTAGGGTACCCGAAAAGTTGAGCCCAAAACCCCGATACGCCTTGCCTGTGTCGGAGCCCAAACCCCCCTCCCAAGCGCCCACACTTTGCCTCGGAGCTGAATCCTCCCCCAACCAAAACCGTAAACTCTATAGTTTAGATACACCCTATAAACCCTAGAAAACCCATAAACTCTATAAACCCCAGAAAACCTATAAACCCTGTAAACCCCAGAAACCCTATAAACCCTATAAACCCCCGAAACCCTATAAACCCTAGAAACTCCGCAAACCCTGCAAAGCAGTGCACAGCCTGAGTCTGGAGTCGGGATTCAAAACCCCCTCGAAGCGCCGGAAGAAACCGTTGCAGTACTGTTACAGTTGAGAGCGTTTATAGCCCAAAGGCTCCATGTACTTTTATAGTAGATACTTAAGCTCCAAAGTCGTCCCTATATGGGTACTATAAGGCCTAAGTATATACTATATGGGTACATGGAGCCTTAGGGTAGTTTATGGGTTTATAGGGCTTAGGGTTAGAATGCATATAGTTTATGGCATTTATAGGGCTTAGGGTAAGAGTAACCCTTGTAGACTTGTAGGGAGCAGGCTCATCTCGCCGTGCAGATGGCTGGCCACCCACCCCCACTTGCCGACGGCGCCGTGGACGGTACAGACGCTCAGAGAGCTGTTTCTGCCAAAAAGCTAGGATATCAAGGTTGCAGGGTTTGGTGCTTAGGTTTGCTGTAGGGTGAAGGTAAGTGCCATTTACGAGCACTTCTATCACATCTCCGGATTGGATTCATCCCATTATGTTCATGCCTTGGGGGGAGCCTGAGTCTAACTCTCTTCAGGGCTCCACCAATGCCAGCCCCTCAGCTCCAGACTCCAGACCATGTGACCGCAAACCCTGACTGAAATTTGCTGCCCTCAACCCCTCGGCATTTTGCAGGCAGATCCGACGGTTTCCAAGCCTTCAGTCACAGGCAGCCACATGGGTTCGGTAGTTGGGTATTGTTGTAATGCTCTTCTCCAGTACCGGTACTGGGCCGCAGTTTCCAAAGCGCGGCGAGCAATGGTGGCCGATGGATGAAGTGTTCCGGGCAAAGAGCACTGCTGATTGCCTTGAGCCTGCATGTCGCTCACTTCTGCTTCAGTGTCCAGTCACCCCCCTGGCGTCCGGAGGAACTGTCTCTTCCGGCTGCGAAGAAGCGCAGCCCTGTTTTCCTGCTTGGTCCATCGCATTTTCTGGACCGACACTTAGAAGAGGCGAAGATGGAAAGTGAGGTCTTGGGGCCGCACCTCCGGAAGTTGAGGGGGATGGACAGCATGGCTTTGGAAGCTCTTCCAGTCTTTCACAGTTCGACGCTTCGCGTATTGGAAGAGGCATACGGCTGTTACAGCAGAACTGTCCTCATGGTGCCCAACTGGTATTTCGGGAATCGCTATGTGGATTCCTTGGTTTCTGACCAGCTCTTCCATGACTTGCCCCCAGATGCCTACAATGTAGTGCGGGAGAGGGTGAAGCCTATGGAGAATGAGATCATGGTGAGGCAGGGCCTCTCTTGCTTGCAGCACCTGGCCTCGAGATTCCCGGACATGAAGTTTATTTTCTGGTGCATGGCGCGTCGGACGCTGATTCCCAATCACACCTCCACTGTTCCTCTGGAAGGACAATATCTTCAAGTTTCATCACGATTTCGTAACAACACGCTCGATGTGCTGCAGTACAGCGATCGCGACACCTTTACAAGGCATCACATGAAGGACAACAATGGCCATCCCAAAAGGCAGGGCTACGATTTGATTTTCCGCCTCATTGAAAGCATTCTGCCTTGACTGCACAAAAGCCTGCCAGCTGTTTGCGGCTCAGGTGCCCGCAAGCCATATTCCCCAGCCGTAACCCCTAAACCTATACCCTAACTTAAACCTCAAACCTCTGCGAAACCCTAAACCATAAGCCCTGTTAGAATGAATGGCAGGTGACCCAAGTCTCAATGTCACCAGCTGCACATTAGGATGTCCTTAAGGGGGGGTGGTCCAAGGGGGGTAGGTAACCTAGTAATCCCCATTATTCCCCAATACTCCCTAAGCTTCCCTAAGGTTCCCCAAAGCTCCCTAGTACCCTCCCCCCTTGAACCACCCCCCCTTAAGGATCCTATAAGCACATGCATTTGCTGTGCAGGGTTTGGGGCTCTAGGGCTTCACGGCCTTCAGTGTTTGGGGTCTCGGGCCTTTGGGTTTAGGGCTTTAGGGCTTGAGGTTTGGGGTTTTAAGGTTTGGGGCTTTGGGGTTTACGGTTTTCGGGTTCAGGGCTTTTGAGTTTGCGGTTTTAGGGCTTCAGGTTTAAATTTAGGGCTTAGGGTTTTAGGGTTTAAGGCTCAGGGTTTAGAGATTAGGGTAATCCGCATGTCTGACAGCCACGAAACCCTGAAAGCTTGGCTTGTTGCCTGGAGGAACCCGTATAGAAGCCTTATTCAACCCTTATCGAAGAACTCCATCCGAACTGTTGTGGCCCCGTCGTACACGCAAGCCTTTTCCAAAACTTGCTAGCCAGTCAGAAAGTCTCAGAAACACAGTCAGAGCAGCCTCTTTGCAAACCCCCAAGGCTTGGGAAACACTGCTGCATCAAGCTATGTCAAGCCACTATAACTACTATTTGCTTAAGAACCCCCCAAAAAATAAAAATAATAATCCCCATATAACCCCCATAAGGAATATATTTTTTGTTTTTTGGGGGTCCTTAAGCAAATAGTAGATAAGAAACCCTGAAGCCTCCAAGCCCCAAGCCCCCAAAACCCTATGAGAGTTTATAAAGTACCTTTCAGGAGGTGCCTGAAACTCCAAAAAAAAGCTTACCGCACCTCTTTTGAAAGAAGGTCTAAACCGCAGTCCCAACCCCGTAATCCAAAACCTCTACACCTCAGTTTTGGAAGATTCTCGGCTCTTGCCGAGGTCTCTTCGATGCACTCCTGGACACTGAGATCGAGCTCCTCCTTTCAAAAAGATGAAGGGGTCATAGGGATTCATAAAGGTGTGTCAGGTTTTGTGGTGTGCTTCATTGGGGCTTCGAGGTTCCTCTATGGGTAAGTCGTACCCTTGGTGATTGCTGACGAAGTCAAGAGAATCTAGGTAGTAACAAAATACTAGTTGCTGCATGTTGGACGTTCTGGTACATGGAGGGTTTGGGGTTTCATGGTCAGGGTAGGGTTAAGTGTCTCGCAGGCGGGGGGGGGGTGCATTGGTGTTAAGTCCCAAGCCCAAGCCCCCAAACCCTGCAAGCCTGTTGCACTCTGACCCATTCCACGGAAAGGGCTCTAGCAGCACCATATAGAATGAGAGAGATTCATGACAGGCGCACGGAAACTTTCAGAAACCTGTTGGAACATGACCCCTACATTGTAAACCTGCTCCGGCAACCTTCTGCGATCTGATCCGCAAGCCCCGCTCCCGGGGCCCTAAACCCAAAACTCCCAACGACCCATTGCCTCAACACCAGTCAACAGTCCCCTTCATTCTGAAGCCCCGATTCCTTGAACTCGAGTCCTGAAGCCTTACTCATAATCCCAACCCTAGTGCTACGCCCCATTTTGGGACCCCTTATTATCTTTCAAGGAACCAAGGGGTCCGAATTGGGGGTTATACGTACCTGCTGAAATATTGGTAAGTCCCCTGAACCGAAACCCTAAACCCTGAACCCCTGACCCTCCCAGTAAGCCTTCCTGGAGCCATCAGGTCCCTACCGCCTCCCGAGCCAATCTCACCTCGTCTGCTGGATACCACCCAGTCCCTGCGCCTGGGCTGCAGTATCGGTGTTTAGGGTTTGGGGTTTAGGGCCGGTTAGGTTGCAAGGTTTGGGGTTTAGGGTGAGTATACGTATGTATGTATGTATGTATGTATGTATGTATATATATATATATGTATATGTATGTACGTATGTATGTATGTATGTATGCACCTATATGCGTACGCAGTTTAGTATCCCATGTAACCCCTGTATAGTGGTGCTACTGGTGCCTTAAAATTCTCTATGGCTCTTAATATGCCCACACCCAACCCTACAGTTGATGAACAAAAATCCCGCAAAACCCATTATAAAGAATATATCATAATTCGCATAGTTTAGGGTCCTTAAGGTAATGCAGGATTTCTATCATGAACCCTAGTTTGACACTTTCTTAAGACTCATTAACTGAACCCTAAGCCCTCCTTCGTAAATTCCTCATCGTATCTGGGGCTCCTGAATTTCCGTAGGTCCGAGGCGACTTGGAGCTGCAAGTGTTGTTAGGGTTTAGGCTTCGGTTGGACACCCCATAGACCTCGAAACCCCAGAATTCTAGCTTAGGGTTTAGGGTACACTTATCCTAGAAACCAGGGCTTGCAGCTTACTGGTTGGGGTTGGCTCCAGAAGTTCAGGACAGCATGGCGTGTGAAAGGGCATATCGGGTATTGGGCTTTGGGACGCATGCGCTTGGGTTCACAGTGTTGGAGTGTAGGGCTCTCGTTCTTGGCAGTGCAGATGTCGGATGTGGTCGGGTACTGTCTCGAAGGTCGGCCAAGAAGTCCGTGGCTTTGGGTGCCCATTTTGATCACCTAATGTCGAACACATGTGCATTTTCGCCATCCCGGGTCTTGAACCCACGAAGAACATGCCCCCCCAAAGAAGAGTTAGCACATGCACCTATAAACCCTGCTTCCTCCACAATAAGAACGGTCGTCAATCTTCACAATAAGAGTAACAACTATACCTGTAGCCTAAAGCCCTACAAAATCGCAGGTAATGGCCCTGAACCCTATCCCCAACTAAAAACTTTCAACCCCTAAACCCTACGAGCCTTAAGCCCGGAGCCCTAGGCCGTCAAGGGAGTTCCCTAAACCCTACACCCCCTAAACCCTAAACCCCTATACCCTAAACCCTAAACCCCTAAACCCCTAAACCCTAAACCCCAAAAACCCTAAACCCTAAAACCCTAAACCCTAAACCCTAACCCTAAACCCTAAACCCCTAAACCCCTAAACCCCTAACCCTAACCCCTAAACCCCTAAACCCCCTAAACCCTAAACCCCTAACCCCTAAACCCAAACCCCTAACCCCTAAACCCTAAACCCCTAAACCCTAAACCCTAAAACCCCCCTAAACCCCTAAACCCCTAAACCCTAAAACCTAAACCCTAAACTAAACCCCTAAGTAAACCCCTAAACCCAAAACCCTAAACCCCTAAACCCCCCTAAACCCCTAAACCCCTAAGAACCCCTAAACCCTGAACCCCTAAACCCCTAAACCCCTAAACCCTAAACCCCTAAACCCCTAAACCCCTAAACCCCTAAACCCCCCCCTAAACCCCTAAACCCCTAAACTCTAAACCCCTAAACCCCTAAACCCCTAAACCCCTAAACCCCTATACCCCTATACCCTAAACCCCTAAACCCTAAACCCCTAAACCCCTAAACCCCTAAACTCCTGAACCCCTGAACCCTAAACCCCTAAACCGCTGAACCCCTGAACCCTAAACCCTAAACCCCTAAACCCTAAACCCCTAAACCCCTAAACCCCTAAACCCCTAAACCCCTAAACCCCTAAACCCCTAAACCCTAAGCCCCTAAACCCCTAAACCCCTAAACCCCTAAACCCCTAAACCCCTATACCCTAAACCCCTAAACCCTAAACCCCTAAACCCCTAAAACCCTAGACCCCTAAACCCTAAACCCCTAAACCGCTAAAGTAAGCTGGGGATCCCAGGCTCAAGAGCTCATCGCAAAGCCGGCTCCCCGAGCTCTTTCCTTCCCTTCTTGTTGTGTTTTTTTTTTTTTTTTTGGGGGGGGGGTTAGGGTTTGGGGGTTAGGGTTTAGGGTTTAGGATCTAGGGTTTAGGGTTTAGGGTTTGGGGTTTAGGGTTTAGGGGTTAGGGTTTAGGGTTTAGGATTTAGGGTTGGGGGGGGCCTGTTCAGGGGTGCTGAGACTGCTTAGGGCTTATTGAGGTTTAGGGTTTAGGGATCGTTCGAAGGTTTCGAGGTTTCTTTTTGCGGCGGGGAGGACGGAGCAGGCCTCTAGCTTGCCTACATCGTTCAGAGGTTCCTCGTCTTTGTGTCATTGATTTAGGGCTTTAGAGTTTATGGTTTCAGTGTCTTGGATCTAGGGGTGTAGTGTAGGTGGTGGTTTTGGTAATACAGTGGTATCGCCCCACCGTTGGGGTCGGATTAGTCAGTCCTGACATAACCATTCTACTGTTTTACGCTCCAGTGTACCACGACATTTCGCTGATTTACAGGCCCTGATCTCACCTCTCTTCAGAGGTTCTGAGGTTGTTTGTTAAAACCCCTGGAATGACTGCATCTGTTCGGAGTCTCCAATCCCCCGATAGACTGCCAGAGCTGCGGATTCCGGAAAAGGCCGAAGCGGCAGCCTAGGTGTCTGCTCCAGAGGCTACGCCGCCCTCATGCGTGGTATGACCCTATGAGGGCCCACTTGCCCGAAAAGCTGGACCTGCAGGATGTAGGTAGCACCAGGTAGCGGCCAAGCAATAAAAAGGTCAACACCTGCAACTTGTGGGACCGATAGTTCATGACACGGACCTCTCTGTGTTGTACTTTCAGGATCCTACAAGGTAACCCTGAAAAGGACCCACAAGGGAGACTATGCGCCCTCAGCTGTAAACCCAGACCAAAACCCGACAACCCCCTAAACCCTAAACCCCGAACCCCCCAAAGCTGTAAATCCAAACAAGCCGTTCATGTACTATAATATTCTAATTACTACGATATAGTATAACATGCTGTAATAACATACTATAGCACACAATAGTATACTACAGAAGACTTTTTTCTACTATACTATATTGA